CCTCCCTCCCTCCCTCCCTTCCTTCCTTCCTTTCTTTTTCTCCTCTTCCTCCTCCTCCTCCTCCGGCTCTTCTTTAAATATTTTTAGTTATAAATGGACACAATACCTTTATTTTATTTATTAAATTTGGTGCTGAGGTTTGAACCCAGTACCTTACACGTGCTAGGCAAGCTCTCTACCACTTAGCTACAAGTCCAGCCCGAATTTTCTGTTTTTGTTGTTATTACTTTGTTTTGTTATTTGGGGAAAGTCAAGCAGATTAAAAATTGTGCCACAGTTGTCATTTTCCTAGAATTATTTCTTCTAGGTTTTAAAATCTCTACTGTCTCTCTTTTAATGGAGTCAGGGTCTCACTAAGTTGCATAGGGCCATGCTAAGTTGCTGAGGCTGGCTTTGAACTTGCCTCCTGAGCTGCAAGGATCACAAAGCCATCACACCTGGTTTTCTACTGACTCTTACATTCCCTTTTATTCTTAATATGTATTTGTGAATTTTCTTTTTCTTATATAATCTTACAGGAATTATTGGTGGTATTTGCCTTTCTGGTTTTGTTAATCTACTCAGTTGTATCTTTTTTGTTTGTTTGTTTTTGAGAGAGAGAGGGGGGGAGGGAGGGAGGGAGAAAAATTTTTAATATTTATTTTTTAGTTTTTGGTGGACACAACATCTTTATTTTATGTGGTGCTGAGGATCGAACCCAGCGTCCCGCACATGCCAGGTGAGCGCGTTACCGCTTGAGCCATATCCCCAGCCCAAGTTGTATCTTTTTTAAAAAAATATTTTAACCAATTTTTTTTATAACTATTTATTTACTTTTATGTGTTGCTGAGGATTGAACCCAGTGCCTCACACATTCCAGGCAAGTGCTGCACTACTGAGCCACAACTCCAATACCTCAGTTGTATCTTTTTAAAAATATTGCCTTATGGTTATAATTTCTTACCTTATGCTTTCCTTGATTTTATCTTATTTTTAAATTTAAGTTATTGATGTGCATGTACAGCATTAATTATCACTTTTCTTCTTTTTCAACATATAAAGCTATAAATGCTCCAGTAAGTATTACTTTAAGTTTACCTATCAAATTTGAATATTTTTCTGTTATTTAGTCCTAGTATATTTTCTAATCTCTGTTATAATTCTTCTTTGATCCTTGAGGTATATGAAAGTATGCTTTTAAATTCCTATGCATATGAGATTTTACTGGGTTTATTTTTGTTACAGATTTCTAATTTAATTCCTTATGGCTGGAGAAAATGATCTATATTATTTATTCTCTGGGATTTTTGAGATTTGCTTTGTGTCTTAGTATGCATGAGTACTTTTAATAAATGACCAATGGGTGTCATTTATGGTATGGTTGCTTTTTATAGCAATAGCTAACTTCTTCCTACACATGACTTAATGTATTCCAGGTCATTTTAAGGTCATTAATAAAAATTAAATATTGTGTATTAATATATATATGTGTGCGTGTGTGTATATATATGTGTGGATATGTGTGTGTGTATATATATTTAGATCTGTTATTTGTACTTTATGTATTTTGAAACTGGTACATTTGTTACTAGGTACATTAATACCTGGTGACTAGAGTCTTCTATCATTGCATTTTGTCTTTATCTCTAATAATGGGTTTGAGCTTCACATCTCCTTTTTCTGATATTGATATAGTGACACATCTTTTTTTCCAGTTAAATTTTGCCTGACATATCCTTCTCATCCTGTATTATATGTCCTTTTGCTTGAAGTGTATCTCTTAAAGAACTTGTGGGTAAACTGAATTTTTTTCAAGTTTTATCTAGGAGTAACTATATAACATGGTGATTAAAAGCAAAATTTTAGGGCCAGATAGTTGGATTTGATTTGTTATTTGGGGTGTTGATATCTGGTAGCTAGAGTTTGATAATTGCAGAATTGGAGGCATTTTTTACTTTATTTAGACTTTCACTCTCCCATGTTTTATACCCTAGTCTGCACTTCTCTTCTGGTGTATTCAGGTTCTGATTTTCTATCCTGTTTCTTTGGAACCACCTGCCACATTTACTCTATGGCATTTTCCATAGTCAATTTAAACCATAATGTCTATTTTTTATCTTTGAAAGTATTGAAGTGGGCATAATAATGTCTACCTTATATTACCATTTCAGTTGTAGCATGGGTTACCAGATCTAAAGAACATTAACTTGGTGTGTGACACATTCTAACCTAATGGTTAGAATAAGGCATTCTGCTTTGTTATTGATATATTACACTATGATTTCTAGTATTCTTGGCCACCATGAAACTATTCACTGTCTTGTCAGTATTTGTCACTATTAATGTTATCATCAGATTTATTATTTTTATTGTATAATTCAAGCTTAAACTTTTTCTGTTTTTTTTTTGTTTTGTTGTTGTTGTTGTTATTTGGGTGATTTGGGGAGATAATTTTGGAGCATCTCAAATCAGCATGTTTAAAGTAGTAATAAAATTTAATGGAATTTAAAAATTATTTCCCAGAAGGAGCATATTCATAAATAAATTATATTAAAAATGAAGACATAAAAATCTTGCATTTTATGGGTATAGAGTACATACAGGTTGAACTTCTCTGATCTGAAATCTAAAATCCAAAATGCTAAAATCTGAAACTTCTCATGTTGACATGACAGCACACTTGGAAAATTTCAAACCTGACTTTGTGTGACAGGTAAATTATAAGTACACTAAAAATATGGTATAAAATTACCTCAGGATTTAGACTTGGGTCTCATTCTCCAGGATATCTCATTATGTATACACAAATGTAACAACAAAAAACAAAACAAACAAACAAACCCAAATTCAAAACAGTCCTGGTCCAAAGCATTTCAGATAAGGGATAATCAACCTGTATTTCCAAGTAATATGTGTTCTGGATTTTGAATTTAATAAAGAGAGATTAATGTCTGTATAAAGTATTTTTTTGTCTAAATCGGAATCTGTACTTTAATTTAAACAGTTTTAGAGAAACAGTGGTAGTGGTTATATGTTGTATAATACTGTGAATGTACTTAATGCCACTGTATGCTAAAAATGGTTGAAGTAAAAATTTTATGTTATGTATATTATACCACAATTTTTTGTTTTTGTTTTTCGGGTACTTGTGATTGAACCCAGGGGCACTCAACCACTGAGCCACATTCCCATTCCTTTTTGTATTTTATTTAAAGATAAAGTCTCACTGAGTTTCTTAGGGACTTGCTAAGTTGCTGAGGCTGGCATTGAACTCATAGTCATCCTGCCTTAGCTTCTAAAGCTTCTGGGATAACAGGCATGGACCACCATGCCTGGCTTATTATACCACAATTTAAACAAGAGTATTAGTCATTATTTAAATGTCTCACATTGCAGTTCACTTTCAGCTGGTGTGAAAATTTAAAGGACCATACATATAGAGTAAACAGAACATGCTGATTTATGTACTCTTCCTTCAACCATATATTTCTCACTCATTTCCTAATATGGATTTTTTTTTTTTTTTAATGCAGGAAGGAAAAGTTGATGCGATGCTCTCAATGCCGAGTTGCCAAATACTGTAGTGCTAAGTGTCAGGTAAGACTTCTCAGCTATATCATGAAACCTTCAAATTCTCTATTTGAAAATTTGTCCCCTATTACCTGTTGGTCTATTTCTGTTTTTAAACAATCTTTGACTCATTTTTACTTGTTATTTTTCCTTCAGTTTTAAAATTAATATATATATATATATACAGGTTGAAATACTTGGGACCAGAAATGTTTCAGATTTAAAATTTTTTCAGTTTGGAATATTTGCATAGATTTTACCAGTTGAGCATCACTAACCCCCAAATTTCAAAATTTTCAGCTTGGGGGCATTTCAGATTTTGAATTTTTGAATTAGGGTTGCTGAACCTATATATGGATAAAATATAAGCAGTGTTTGTATATATTTCTGCTATGTGAAAATAACTGTCTGTTTTCCATCTTTATGCCCCCTGCCTCAATCTTATTTTCCAGAAATAACCACTTTTAATTTTAGATGTCTTTGAAATATTTTCTTATGAGAACTACTAACACATTTGAATGTATTTTTTCTATGTTTAAAAAAAACAAATATTACTCTGGGATAATTTTTAAAAATATTTTTTAGTTGTAGATGGAAACAATCCCTTTATTTTATTTATTTATTTTTATGTGGTGCTGAGGATTGAACCCAGGGCCTCACACATGCTAGATGAGCGAGTGCTCTACCACTTTGCCACAACCCTAGCCCTGGGACAAATTCTTATATACCTTGATATTCTTTTAATTTAATAATCTATTTAGAAGAAAATTTATACCATCCCATAACTCCATTACATAGATACATGATAATCATAATTTCCCTGTTAATGAAGGCTTCAGTTTTTTCCAGTATTTGGTTTGCTGATAATGCATCCAGCATCCTTTTATTTTATTTTTGCACACTTATTTAAATTAATTGTAGGATCAATTCTTCCTAGTTATATCAGTTAGTGAAAGGATGTATGCATTTTGAATTTTTAAATATAATGCCAAATTGCCTTCCAAGAGTTTAAATTAATTTATAATGAATACCATTGTTAATATCTTTGAAATTCCTTCAAGGATGTATAATTAACATTCAACATGACCTTTTCTTCAAAACTTATAATTAATCATTTAATACGAAATGTAATTATGCTCTAATGAATTATATCATATTAAAAAGTCTAAGTGGAACTTTTGTGACTGTGTCACAGAACTTGCCCCCACTTTTCACCCATTCTTCTTATTTCTTATTTTGTTGTGTGTATTTGCCTGCATTTGTACATAGGCACCCACATTGAGTTCCTTCCTTCTTTTAAATCTAGGTCATGCTTATCTGAGGGATTTTCTGCTATCTTATCTTCTCCTTTGAAAGTAATTTCTTCAGACCACAAACAAAGTGAGCCCCCCTTCCCCTTCTTGTGCATGCTAGGCAAGTTCTCTACCACTGAGTTATATTCCCTGATCCCAGAGTGATCTTACTAGAAAAGAAAAAAAAAAAAAAGGTACAAAAATATCATGGGTTTGAAGTTCTAATACTAATTCTGCCATTTTCTGCCGGGTTTCTGTTCTCGCTACTAAAAGGCTCAGGGGTCACTCTAGTTAAACTGGGCTAACTGGGCTTCACGAAATAACCACACAAGAGACACAAATACCTTTTTCTTTGGGGTCACTGTGATGGCTCCTCTGACCTTAAGGGTCTGCAGAAAGAGAGAGAGTGAGAGCATGTGGTGATCCCTTTTATTGAGGGAAGCTATTCAAATGAGGCAAGGGGTCAGGTTTCA